GCTAAGCAATGACCCAGAAAGACCCTCTGAAGCTGACCTATCACCTCTGTTCTCCTTATGCCCACATCATTGCAAGATAGTGTCTATTTTGCTTCAGCTCTCTCTTTCAAAGCCAAAACTCTAACATAAATTTTATATGACTGTTGTAATTATTTCTTTTTCTATTTCCCCAAAGGAGATGAAGTCCTTTAGAATCATGACTTTAATCTGTATCTTATTGATCTTTGTATCCCCAGTGTACCCGGCCATAACAACACTCAAAAAAATTGCCTTGCAAAAACATGAGTGAGTAGATCAATGAATGCAGGTCCCAGAAGAAACCATATTCCACTCTTACTAGACAGATACCATACTGGATGGGAAGAATGGAAATGATGGGATTCTGAACTGATGTGGGGCTCATGGAGGGAGAAGAGGGCTGATGTATCAACAACCTCAGAAATATGAGGAGGTCTATCTACAATGATGATGTGAATTAGAAGGGTTTGACTATTCTTCAGGCATTCTTAAGAGAATGTCAGTCATCTCTATAATTAATCATCACTTAGAAATGTTCTTCAGGCAAAAAACTAGGCCTCTGACTACATCAATGTTTATAGCAGCTCAATTCACAATAGCTTAAGCTATGGGACCAACCTAGGTGCCCTCCAACAGATGAATGGATAAAGAAAATATGGTATATATACACAATGGAATATTACTCAGTCATAAAAAAGAATGAAATTATGGCATTTGCTGGTAAATAGATGGAACTGGAGACTATCATGCTATGTAAAATAAGCAAATCCCCCAAAACCAAGCCTAATGTTCTCTCTGATATGTGAATGCTAACTCACAATAAGTGGGGGTGTGGGGAGGTAGAAGTCATTGGATTAGACAAAGAGAATGAAGGAAGGAGGGGGGGATGGGAATAGGAAAGACAGAATAAATCAGACATGACTTTCCCATGTTCACATGTGAATCCATAATCAGTGTAACTCCACATCAGGTACAGCCATAAAAATGTGAAATTATATTCCATGAATGTATGACATGTCAAAGTACATTATACTGCCATGTGTAACTAAAATTAACAAATAAATTTTTTTTTTTAAAAAAAAAGAATAGGTCTTTGAAAAGCACTCAATTTGATAAAGGGAGGAATAGGATAATTATTTTTTCCTGCTGATATATTGGAGAGAAGCTCCAGAAACCGAGGGTAGCCAGAATTCAAAGAAGCCTAGATATAAACACCTGCCTGACCTTCGTCCTTGAAGCTTTTGTGTCTTCATAGCTAGAACCACTCCATGTTCCCTAGTAGGCTCATCCCTGGCCCAGACTCAGGAACCTCTGCGGATCCCTATGCTGCATCTAATCCCCATTCTGACATATTGACGAAGCTGGGGAGTCCCTTTCCCTTTAAGCATGACAGAACTTCCTTGAGTCCAGATACCTTTGGCCTCTTCTTAAATCTACCTTCTCCCAACAAGGTCATCAGTTGAGAATGGAGAGGGAGGAATGCTGGGAGTCTGAAAAGAGAGAAAGTATAAGGTGGGAGCTCCCCAGACAACTGGAGTGAATTGCCTAGAGAAGAGGAATAAATGGAGAGCCTGAGGCCTACTTGAAGAGTGTGATCAGTAACATAAAGCAAGCCAGATCATGTTGCCACAGTTCTCAGGTTCAGGCAGAGTCGGTGGAGAGTTGTGTTCATTCAGGGATGGGGACAAAAAGGCAAGGAGTTGAGGATATCCAGTGAATGACCCAAGGAAGTGATCAGACTGATGGACCATGAATCCTAATCTTAGGTCCTAAAGAACTGAGGTCAGAGTCAATGGCTGGGGGGTTGGTAGATGGATAGTCACTGAATGGAGGTTGTTTTGGAGCAAAATATTATTGAATCAATAAAAGCAATGAGTTGAGAGTTAAGGATAATGTCAGAGGGAAAAAAATGGCTAGGATGGAGATTTTGAAGGAAGGAAGTAATTGGTATAAACAGGATCTAGGTCTGTAATAGGATTCATAATATCCTGCCTCAAAATGTTATGAAGAGCCAATTAGGTATTATTGTGAAGCATGACATTGGCTGTGAAGATGCCCCACTCAGATCTCCCTTTAGGAGCTCATAGTAGGAGCATTGTAGAATGATAACCTCCAGCTGGTGACACCAGTCTCCTCCCAGCCAGTGACTGAGCATCACAAGTGCTATCAGCTTCTTGTAGGACCCAAAGCTCACACATCTAGAATAAAGTCTGACATATAGTAGGTGCTGAATAATTATTTTCTTTTAACACTATAATTAACGGATCCATTCATTATTGAAGGCATACCTTTGTAAACATCTCTAAGTATTTCAGTAAACCTTTTTGAAAAATTGTGTTGTTATTGTTGTTGCTGCTGCTGCTGCCGCTGTTGCTCTCAATTCCATCACAGTGGGAGAGATTTTCCCCACCTCAGCTAAACTGGGGAAGGAACCCAGTCCCGCCACGGTGGGGTGGTCTTTATCGAAATGGCACCACCTGGGCTGGGGTTGTGGCTCAGCAGTAGAGAACTTGCCTAGCATGCTGAGGCACTGGGTTTGATCCTCAGCACCACATAAAAAATAAACAAAATAAAGGTTATCGTGTCCACCCACAACTAAAACAAATATTTAAAAAGAAAGAAATGGCACCCCCTGACTTAGCTCAGGACCCCAAAGATCCGACAGGAACAGGCGAAGAAAAGAAAATGGGAGCTGAGCACCCAGAAGAGAGAGCAATGAAAAAGCTGCTGGGCAATTCCCCGTCAGATGCCCTCTCACCAAACCACTTCAATTCGTATGGCAGAAATTACACCCATGTTCATTGCCTGGCTCCTGAATCAAGTTTCAGTGACTCCTCTTGGAAGAGGAGGAAAGAGAGAACACAGAGAGCTCCTGTGCCCAAACACTTTCTTTTGCTTACACTCAAGTGCAAAAGAGGTATCTATCCCCAAAATTGCTACAGGAAAGGTCTGGAAAAAAAAGGACTTTTTAATTATTTAGTTGTCAGTCTGGGATATCAATAACTCTGACCCTAAGGGAAGAACCACTTGAAAAGTAAATTAATGGGCCAGGCAGCTGCAGACAAGTCTCCGCTCACTCACTCATTCATTCATTCTTTCATTCAAGGGATATTTGCTGAGCATTTATTCAGGAAAGCATGTGTTAGGTGCCTGGGATAAAATACCGACTCAAGAAGAGGCAGACCTTGCCTTATGACGTTTGTAATATCAAAACGCAGGCAAGGTGAAGAACAAATAATACAGTCAGACATTAGACTTCAAAAAGATCAAATAGTTACAGGGTCTAATTCAATAACTTTAAGGAAAAGTGTGTTGGGGTGGGGGGAACACAATAAATAAGTATTGGAGCTGAGATTCAAGCCAGATACCAGTCAGTATTCTTAACCACCAGCATCTCTGGAATCTAAACACACATTAACTATAATAGGATCCTTTGAGAGTTGAAGAGGCCTCTGTATAAAATGAGTAATATTTTTCCACATAGTCATCATCCATTATTATTTATTTTATAACTTAGATTTGACTCATGGATTTTTTTTTTAGAGAGCCCTGCCACAGTCCATGGAAGCCAGAACCTAAAAAACGGCTGAGTTAAGCAAATGAGGTTTTTAATCCATCACAGGTGAAAGTCACAGTTTTCTACATAAGAGAAATCATCTATTTATATTCAGTAGCCTAAACTAATACTTGCCCTTAAATATTTGTTAAACCAATACATCAATGGATGTGTAAGAACAATGCATCTTTAAAAGGTATGTTTTTTAAAACTCTACTGGTGATGTAATTCTACTTCTAGATTTTGTTTTGTTTTGTTTGTGTGTTTGGTAACACAGAACAGGGATTTTTAAAAAAAATTTTCAGTTTTTGACCAAGAGGAGAAAACATAATGACTATGGTAAGACAGCTTTTAAAAAAATACTTTTCGATCCTTCAATTAGCTTATTTATATCACTATCACAGATGCAGAATAGCCTGAACACTCTCATTCCCATCTCTATTCTAAAATACTTTCAAAAGTCTTTAAACTTATTCCAACCAATCAAAGAATGATAAGATTTTGAGAAGTCATCTCATCTCATTTGCCCTCCTCCCCCAACTCAGACATAAAGTCCTTAAGGAAAATAAGAACATATTCTATTTTAAGGTTCTCTTAAGACAAATTGCTCAGAATTTCTAGAAACTCATCTCAATATTTCTTGATCCTCTCTGTCACAGTATTACTACATAATAAGTTAAACTGAGTTACATGTGTTATTATTTCCTTTCGTCTCTTGAAAGGCAGTGCAATATAGAGATTAAGATGCATGGCTTGTGGCCTTGCACATGCAAGGACCTGAGTTTAACTTCTGCCATTGTGAAAAGAAAAAAAAAAAAAGACACATGATTTCTGAAGTCAGATTTCCTATCCATCTCTGGGAAAGTTATTTAAATTCTTTCTAGCTCACTTTCCTCATCTGTAAAAACAGAAACAATAATAGTACTCATATCAGAGGATTTTTTTAAAAAATTTAATGAAATCATATGAAAAGTATTTAGAACAGAATCTGGAACCCAGTAAATGATATATAAAAATTGCCATTGTAAATGTGTCTCATTTTATTTTGAATAGTGATGGAAAATTGGATAATAGTAGCTGGAATCTAGTCTATTTCACCTGAAATTTTTGAATAAATAAATATTTCTGTAATGAATAAACTCAGCTCCTCTGTTATTTTTTTAATCAGACTAATTTTTCAGTCTTTTCAAAAGCCTTCCTTTAACATCTCATCTTAATGCAGTAAAGAGAAAATTTTTAGTATTTTGCTATTACAAAACAGATTTTTGTACCAAGACTCCAAAAGACCCATTTTTTTAGTGCCATTCTTCATGCTAGGCATGATGGACATATAATGTTGCATAAGACAGATAAGAGCCTGCCTTCCTGGGATATACCAATGTTTAGTTGCAGAAACAAACTCTTTACCATTAAGCAAATCACTTACCACTCTTTCGAATTCTTTCTTCCAATAGGTCAGCATGTCCAGCTGGCAGTTTCTTATTGAAAATCTCAGCTGACCGGAGGAACATAGCTTCAACCGCAGACCCTTTTAGCAAAGCAATTTGGTCTTCATGGTCCAAAGTCTGAAATCCTGAGTACAGATGATAATCAAATCAGAATCAAGGAGTTGTTTGTATAATATTTCACATTTTATATGTATATTAAGATTTTATCACCACCACCATCACTATTGATAAAACATTTCTATAAAGCAATTTTATAATTGTTTTGTGATTGGGTATTTAGCTTGAGTTCACTGAGTATTTCTTGTACTCCCCAAAATAGAAGCTGACTTTTATCTTCATTAAGTACGATTTATTGGACAAGTTAGGCAAAAGGAGTTGTCAAGACCATGCCAAATACCTGGCTGAGACAGACCAATTCAAATGAGTCAACCCTAAGAAACAAGAGGCTGGCAGATTATCTTTGAGTCATTAGTTTAGTTGTGCAGAGTCAACTCTGAAGAATCAAAGCATCCACAGCTAGAAAAAAAAAATTTAATGCATATCATGGGTCTTTAGTCAAAATTTAGAGAACGAGTAGCATTCCTCCACCAAAATTCTATCACAGTCAAATTTAGGTATCTTCTCTGAGTTTAAGACTTATCATACAAAATAGAGGAAAACAGACTAATATAGGAACAAATCACCAGCCTGAAGGCATATAAAACCACCTGGAAAAGGCAAAGTCCTTATCCAGGCATGTGTGGTAAAGTCCCAACACCCTCTCTGACCTTATTCTCTTCTTCTTCCTTCATTCTTTGTGCATCAGCCACACTGACAACCTGGTTCTGCTATGAACCCATGAGCCTGCATTTGCTCGGGGATGAATGCTCTTCCCTGATACATCCATGCTCCACTCCATCAGTGCCATCAGATCTCTGTTTTAGGGGTACCCTACTAAAATAGTCTCCCCAGCACTCACTAATCCCTACCTGGTTTATATCTGTTCATTGAACTTACCACCACCCGACATGATATTATAGGTTTATTTGCTTATTTGTTCATTGTCTGCCATGTCTATTGGAGTACAAACTTCTTTGGGCACAGATTTTTATCTGTTTTATTACTGTTGTATCCACAATGACTGGCACATCATAGGTACCTGAAAATTATTTGTTGGATAATTGAATGATTGAATCAAAGAGGGAAAAACACAAATTTGTGTGCATGCTGGTACACACACACACGTGCACACACACACACACATTAATAGAGGTAATTAATACCATTAGGATCTACATGGCTTAGGAAGGAATTAAATAGCAACCAAAATTTAAAGAAGACAGCAATGCTAATGATTAAGAGTCATTATCCTGCCAAGTGCACTGTAATTCCAGTGATTTGGGAGGCTGAGGCAGAAAGATCACAAGTTTAAGGTCAGTCTGACCAATTTTTGAGACCCTGATTCAAAATAAAAATTAAGAGGGCTGGTGATGTGGCTCAGTGATAGAGCACCCCTGGGATGTTCAATCCCACATACCACCAAAAAAAAAAAAAAAAAAAAAACAAAAAAAAAAACATTATTATCTTGGAGTATCCAAGAGCTCCTTTGAGAGAAGGAGCCATGCTCTACTCCCCTCTGGGTCTCCAGCACCCTGGACAGAGCCTGACACAGGCTCTGCTCAAGGAACTAAAGGGAAACACTCAACTGGAATCTTCTGAAAATACCCTTTCAGTATTGATGTTATATTGTTGAATATAATAACATTGTAATTTCTGCAATTGTTTTAAAATAATTTTTCCTTCTTGAGGGTTTATTTTTTTTCATCATATTTTCTCCTGTATTTGTATTGTTTTCCTTCTGCTTTACTCATTGAATATACATTAAATGTACTCTCCCTCAGGAACTAGGCTAGGCACTGAGAATTTTGAAGAAATGTTAATATATAGCCATTGCTTTCACGTAAGCTACCTTCGTATGAATAAGATATCTTTGTCTTCAATTATTTCTTGATTCAAGACCAACTGACCATTTGAACTGAAAAATCCTTTCCCATAAGTAACCAAAAATATCACATTTCTTTCCTTTTCTCAGCTCCTCCCAGCACATACAGTTTTCACTTTTATGTAATCCTGTTTTTTGATCAAGATTGCCTTTGAATTAATTAGCTATAGCAAATTAAGTTTATCTTTCATTGCTAACAAAGAAATGAAAGAATATCAATGTTTCAATGATAACAAGAACTTTCTCCCCACATTTTATTAGTTTTATGTAGACTTCTTCCTGTGACACATTTAATAAAATAATAGCATAATGCTGACAAAAGAGGGCAAATTAACATACCAAATTAAAATCTTATGACAGAACAGCAGTAATTTACATTACAGAGTTTTGCAAGGTATCTATTATACTCTTTAAAACCAGGGATTTGATACACTAAAAATTTTTTCTTAATTTAAAACACTGTAACAATTTCAACTGATTAGATTAGAGGGCACTGATAATGCAGCAGAAAGAATTTTAGGCTAGAAGATAAGACTCCCGCATTCTAGTTTCTGTGCTGCACCACAGACAGGACTGTTGATAAGTCCCTCTCCTTTACCTAACATGTACACTGTTCACCAAGTCCTGTCATTTTGCATCTGTCTTCATTTTGTTCCTCTTCCCTCTCCCACTGTTATTGCTTTATTTCAAGCCCTCTTGACAGGTCTTGTGCAATAGCCTACTAGCTGGTCCTCTCAGCTCCCATCCCTTCCTATTCAAATCCATCTTTTATGACCCTGATAAAACCACCTTCGTACAAGAAAAATTGTATCATTTCCCTCTCTACAAAATGAGAAGCCATCAAAATGTCTTCATCACCCGGGGGGGGGGGCAAGGATTAAATTCCTTAGTTAGGTCCTTGTCATCTGTACCAACTTGCTTTACTGTCAAATGAAGGAGTCCACCACAGACATCATGTTATTGTCACACTGAATTTTCTCTCCCATCTCTTAACAATCCTGTTCTTGTTATTGCCTCATTAACTTCTCATAAGATCTCTCAACTTGGAAAGCTCCTCTCCATGCCAACTGAAAACCTCCTTTGTGTTCTATTCAACACAAATATAATTCTCTCTGAAGTCTCCCTGTCTTTCTCAGACACCATGAGTAACTGTTCCCTCTCTGTTCTAACAGCTCATTTTGTGTGTATGTGTGTACGCGTGCATGTTTTAATAGCCTGTAACCACTTTTCTTGAAGGTAATAGCTAAGCAGCTAAGCATTTAGATACTTACAGAGTAAGTATCAACAATTACTTATTGGATGAACAAGTGGAGAATGACAACTTTACAAAGTCCCAATTTCTATTGATTTGGAAGAATCTTTATAAGTAATATTAAATATCCTTTATAACTCTAACTTTTCATGTCTATAATGGTTATATACGAATAGGATGTGAGATGATTCTCATCACACAATAAATATATCTGCCCTACACTCAGTGTCACAAGAATATTATACAGCATAGCAGAGAAGTGACTACATGTAAAGGTACCTGCCAACAGTAATAGTGATAAAAGATCTGATCCCAAAGGAATGTTTGAGACTCAAAAAAAAAAAAAAAAAAACAAACAAACCCATTATATGTAAAGTGATCAATATAATCTGTGGCAAATAAACACTCAATAAATATTAGCTTTTATTATTTAAAAAATACTACCTGGAAGTTTTTTTGTGAATTCTACAAGAATCTGTACATGAGTGGTAGCCATTTCTGTTAAAATGAGAAAATTTTCTTCTGCACTGAATTCTTCCTTTAACTAAATTTTAAGAAAAAAGCAAATGATTAATAAATAGATAGAAAAAAGGATAAATCAATATAAAATCATTAGACTACAGGAAAACAAAATTGAGATAATGAAATTTTAAAACCCAGCTCATATTTCTCAGATCTTTGGAGAGCAACTATTAACAAGATAGATGTGTGACTTCTTCCTTTTTAATTGCTTAATGCTGCTAAAAGTTTAAATTTAGAACTTAAATTTTTAGTTTGAATTATTTCAAGTAACATACCCATATAAAAATTTCACATCCAAGGTAATAAAAGCTCCAGAAAACATTAACTTTAAAGAAATATATTTTTTAAATATTATACATACAATTTTATTTGTGATTTCCTGAGGCATCCTCTGTTTGCTATATGAATCCATAATATAATGTAGAAGATTCTGTTGATCTGGGGTGAGTTCATTTTTCTCCTACACTGGCAAGAAAATAAAAGGTGTTAGGGAGGGCGGTTATAAGTCATTCTTCCTATATGTGCATTCACTTGGAGTGAACTGATAGCAAAGTATTGAGAAATGCCCTAAGTACAGCAGGAACTATGAAACTTAATATAGTGTGTAATTAAGAGCTTTTTGTGGGTCTTGGGGCAGGCAATATCATTCTTCCTTACATTTGTTTCAAGTTACTCATTTTCCTGTCTAGAAAATATGTATAACAAAATATGCCTTTCATGTATTTCTTAAGAATAACTTATAGTGTGCACATGAAAGCCTATTAAGCCCCTTCACATTGAAGGTCAGGGGAAGTTCAAGGTTTAATCAAAAGTAAGGAAATGTTCCTGCATGAAAATGGAGACTCCAGCTAAGCTTATTATTCTATATGCAGATGTTGACAAACTGGCTCATGGACCAAACTACCTACTTTGGTAAATAAAGTTTTATTGAAACATGGCCACACTCTTTTGTTGATGTATTGTCTATGCTGGTTTTGCACTAAAATGAAAGAGTCAAATAGTTGTGATAGAGACTATGTGACAAAATCCCCAAATATCTGGCACTTAACAGGGGGGAAAAGGTTTGCTGATCCCCAAAACAGAGAGTCGTCAATCAGGGCAATTCAGATCTCAAACATTTCTTTCCCTCTTGATAGCATCTTTTAAGGAATATGAATAATTGTGTCAACTCTTTGTTTCCTTATACCAAAAAGTGTTGCTGATGAAACACTAGGGAAGAATAATATTTTTTTGGGGGGTGGGATTGTGGCTCAGAGGTAGAGCGCTCGCCTAGCATGCCTCGTGAGGCACTGGGTTCAATCCTCATTACCACATAAAAATAAAATATTGATATTGTTTCCACCTATAACTAAAAAATAAATATTTTAAAAATTTTTAAAAAGAATAATATTTTTCTATAAAATTATTTTTTTCCAAAATGAATACAAGATAATATATTTTGAAAAAGTAAAAATGGACGAAATTGGGGCTGGGGTTGTGGCTCAGAGGTAGAGCGCTCACCTTGCACGCGCAAGACCCTGAGTTCGATCCTCAGCACCGCATAAAAATATATGAATAAAATAAAGGTATTGTGTCCAACTACAACTAAAAAATAAAAAAAAATGGACGAAATTCTCTTTGGCCCTTTTCAGAATAAAAACTTTCACTTTTCACCTTATACATTGCTATTATTTGAATTTTTTCAACAAAGCATGTATTTTTCTCTTGATTAAAAAAAAAGAAGGGATCCATTTTAATGCAAAATGGAAATGGGAATTCTGCTGTGGCTATGGCTCTAATCTGAGTCTCCCAGCCAGATCGCTAGACTCCTGCTGGCTTTGGCAGACACCACTGCATGTTATTACCCTGCATGACTTAGTCGTTGAGGTCACTTGTCGCAAGTCCCGTCCTTCGCTGTCCTCATTAATGGTCTGATCTGCATACTGCTTCACATTTTTTCTCAGTCGTTTAGATTTACACTGAATTTCAGTTAACAAGCCTGAAAAAATGAACATGAACGTAGGGACTTTATCAATCACAGAAAGTTCTGTTAGGTGTGTGGTCATGAAATAGTTGTATGGTTGGCTCAGACAATCTGTGCAACTTGGCAAGGAACTAATTCCAGCTCTTTAGATATTTAAAAACAGAAGGCTGAGATTTAAAGACTTGACCTTGAATAAGAAGTTTAACCTCTGTGAATCTCAATTTCTTCATCTGTAAAATGCAAATAATATCCACCTCTGATTTTTTTTGTAGATTAAGTGTAATCAAATCATTTTTTAATGATGGCTTTTATATGAAGAATTTGTGATATTAAAGCATTATATACAATGCAAGACAATCAATAAAAAGGTGAATGACAATCTCCCCATTCCTAATCTAGGGGATCTGGAAAGTCGTTAATTCAAAATAGATTAATATTATTTTGATACATGTTATATACTATGCCATAAGAAGTATATTTGTTTTCACATTTAAATTTGTTGAGTAAAACAAATATTAACATCCTTTAGGAAAACAAAATCTTATTAATTTCTATAACTATATAAATTATTGAAATTATAGTTAAATATTAAAATAACTCAAGAAATGCTATAGTTTGGGTGTTAAATGTCCCCAGAAGACCCAGGTGTTAAAGGCTGGGTCTCTAGTATATGCCCTTGGGAGGCAGTGGAACCCTTAGAAAGTGGGGCCTAGAGGAAGGTCCTTAGGGTATTGGGAGTGTGCCCTCAAGGGGGCTTGTAGGGCCCTTTCCTCCCTTTTTCTCTTTTGATTTCTGGTCATGAGGTGAGCAATTTCCTCCGCCTGCCTCTCCACCGCTGCCACTGGGTACCCCAACCAGAGGCCTAAAAGCAATGAGTCCCACAGATCATGAACTGGAACCCCCAAAACTGTGACCCAAAATAAGCCTTTTCTCTTTATAAGTTAAATGATCTCAAGTACTTTTTATTGTGATGGAAATCTGACTATCAAGCAAGATGCCTGAAAAAAAATGGTTTTAAATGCTCATACAATATCATAACTGATTTACACTTAAACAAAGCTATAAAAAATAATGTAGAACAATCTTCCATGTTCACACTTAAGTTATTTACTTAAGTGAAAATGAAGTTCCAGAATGTTCTTTGTGCAGGAAATTTATTTTATAGATTTATGAAATATCTATATCTGTTACTGAAAAAGTTTATGTTCATAAATGATATTACAGACTTTTATAGAGGGACTCATACAAAATGTCTTTGGAGCTTCAACTGGAACAAGTTCATATTTAAGTGATGAGCAACATGAACCACGCAGTATCAAACTATTTCCATTGTAAGATTGGATTCCAGCAGCAGCCCCTGCTCGGGATCTTGTTTCATGTATGCTAAAATAAGATTGGGATCAGCCACTATAAAACTTTCATCCACCTAGAGCTGGATTATTTACACAGACCTATTTTCCCTTCTCCTGCATACATTATTTTTCTGGGTCCATCCCAGTTGCCTGTACTATTTGGGAACAATAAAACTGGAACAATAGAACTGGAGTCACCTTCCACAGGCTTTTATTTCATGTGGCATTCCCTCCCTGAATGCCATCGTCCCCTTGGTGACATTTGTTTGTCTATTTGTGTTTTGAGGAGGAACAGGACATATCTCAGAATCTGAGTGCTCTGTAGCATTTGCAGAATGAAAAATTAATTATGTTATATACTAACATGCATTCCAGTTTTTGATGAAGATCGTGGTCCCTCACAAAGCCAGCAGTTAATACAGTGTCTCTTTATCAGATTGAAGGACAAAATTATATTAAAACTCAGGGTAGTTAATTTCCTGTGTAAACCTATACAAATTGGTTCAAAGCTGCACTAGGAGAAAATGGATTCTTAATAAAATGACTTGGTTTAAAACTCTATTTAGACCATTCAGAGGTGGCTATACCCTATGAAGCATTCTTACTTTTTTCCCACAACTATAAATTTTATGTTAATTAAGTAATAAAGAAGGAGTAGATTAAAATCAAATTTGGAGGAGACTTTCAGACTGTCATTCTTTGTAGCATATTAAGCATGTTATTTAAACTGCATGTTAAAGACACTTCACTCCATGTATAGTTCCTTACAACAAAGAACAACAAACAACAGTCATTTCTTTCAGGTGAACAAGATGCTCTTTAGATGACGTTTGGACAATTTCAGTGGTTCATGACCCTTTTCAAGAACTTAAATGGCTCAGCAGATTCCCTCTTTAATATGTGAAGTATCATTCTTGCGATATGATTTTTACCTGGCATCTGCCTCCTTAAGAGATTTTTAGTGGAATTTAATTGCTTGAAGTGAATACCTGTATACATACATTCAGCCAACATTCCCATCTCTTTGCACTTCCTTAGCCGACACTCCTGGCACTTCCTTCGCATGTACATATCCATCACACAGTTGCCCCCATTTTTACACTTGTACACAGCATTTTTGGTAATGCTTCTCCTGAAGAAACCTGTGGAAGAAACACTGAAGAATGTCAAAAGGCCCCTAACCACTCAGGAAAACACATCTGGAGCCAGAGATGCCAGAATGTTTTCTCATGAACTGCTGGAGAGCCAGCACCCAGGCACTCCTTGAGTACCCCTATAACAAAAGGTACTTTCAATTACACCGTGTTAAGAAGGTTGCTATTTTTTTAATTTACCTCTCAAAAAAATAAAGACAAGTTTGAATTATAGTCTCTCTTAGAAAACTACCAGTTCGTATGAAATGATAAATTACTTTCATAGATCTTTATCGAGGGACAATTTTATGCCAGTGAGTGTTGGTACTTGTGCTCTCTAAGCAAAAAGTTCATCCCTCAATTCCAAGAGTGTAAAGGTTGACTGAAAGCAAAGACATACCCACAATTAAACACACGAAATTAAGCATTGCACAGGTTCTACCTGGAGGTTATGCTGGGGCCCAGCAGACACAGAGAATGGTCAGTCTTGGATGGAGAAGTCAGGACAGGAAGAGAGCAATGATCCAAGTCTGGGAAAGTGTTTTGGTGTTTATCAAGCAGTTAGGGAGAAAGTTGTATTCATGTTACTATGTTGCCAATCTGTCATAATAATAAAAATGCCAACCTTGATTTAAAAGCAAAAGTCTCCCCTGAGAAACTGGAGCACAGCTTCAGCCTGTTACAGTTAAGATGGGTAGAGTCAGAAAAGGAGTGTGACTGGCTTCATCTTTTGCTTCTCCTTTTACCCATGTCCCACTTCTCCTATTTTCCTCTATCTGGTTAACCACAGTTTCTGACACCTCCAGTGTCAGGGGGATTGGTGAAGAGAGAGAAGATTGTGGGAGGCAAGGGAGAAGTGACAGGAAAATGCTTAATTGCTTGGTACATAGTCCTATCCACATAGTTCTTATCCACAGTTTCACTTCCTGAGGTTTGGTTACCCGTGATCAACCACAGTCTGAAAGTATTAGTGGAAAATTTCAGAAATAAACAACTCACAAGTTTCAGATCACATGCTGTTCTGAGTGGTGTGATGAAATCTTGCAGTTTCATTCCATGCCACTCAGTATGTGACTCAGCCCTTGGCTATCATATCCACCCTATATACTACCCCCACCCAGTGGCATTTGAGAAAGAGACTACATTCACTTAACTTTTATTACAGGATATTGTTACAATTGTTATATTTTATTATTAGTTATTGTTGGCAATACCTTCCTATGCCCAATTTATAAACTGAACTTCACCACAGGCATGTTATATATAGTGCACATAGGGTCTGATACTATCCATGTTTTCAGGCATCTATTGGGGGTCATGGAACATATATCATCTGTGGAGAGTGGGAAGTACTGTAGTGTCATAAGCTGGTTATGCTTAACAAGTTTTAAAGTTGATTCTTCTTCCTTGGGTTGGGTTCTCTAAAGAGCTCCTTCTATCATTGGGATGCTTTCTTCGGTACTTCCTTGATCAGAGCAAATAAGTTTCTATTCTGTCCCATGGCTTGTATTCCCTTCTCCAGCACCTAGGAATTTGGCAGTTCACTCCACACTGGTTATACTGAGGCCTAACTCTGTGGTACTCTTGGCATGGACTTATGATAATCTAATGCTGACTTTCTCTGATGCAACAAACTCTATGGAACAGATAAATCTCTCCCACTTATCCATAAATGGTCAGCCACCTGCCTTTCAATTTCTCAGGTAAATGATAGACACCAAACCTTACATCCCCCAATTTCAGGAGGGATGCAACAATATTCTCAAATGATCCTGTTGTAGATACTTTCTCTGGGCCTGGGGAAGCAGGATGTCTTTATGTATATATTTTACCGAGGAAGGGACACATTTTTCTAATTCTCACAAAGGTACTACACATACCAGTTGTGGCACCTTTGCTATGGGGATGAAAGATTCATAGAACACTAATTGCATGCTTCAAAATATTTTAAGAGGGGCTGTGGATGTGGCTCAAGTGGTAGCGTGCTCACCTGGCATGCGCGGGGTACTGGGTTTGATCCTTAGCACCATATAAAAATAAAATAAAGATGTTGTGTCCACCTAAAACTAAAAAATAAATATTAAAAAATTCTCTCTCTGTCTTAAAAAATATTATAAGACCTTTCTATAATTTCCAACTGCTGATTTATTTGTATCCTCAAAATAAGTGAGATGTTTAACTGGTCCTTGAATATCCACTGTGAATTTCTACAAGATGGGCTCACTATTGAATGTAGCAACCAGTGTCTTCATGTCATAACTGAGACAAGAGTACCTCATATTTTAACAGACTGTTAGAATAATTTCTAAAATTTATTAAGTATTTACTAGCTATTGTTCTGGCCACTTTACCTCCATTTCGGTATTTAATTTTTATATAAATTTTATGATGAAGATGATATTACATCCTCCCATATTATAAATGAAGGAAAAAAGGTACAAAGAAGTTAATAAATTCCTTGGTCATGATCACGTTTAATGAGTGGACTGGGAGGGTTCAAACCCAGGAAGTCTTACTCTAAAGTTCATACTCCTAACAAGTTTACTAAGATTGCCTCCCTTGGGTCATAAGAGAAAGTTAACACATGCTCTGACCTGGGAGATAACAAGATGAATAAGACATTGCTATCTGCAGATTCCAACTTAGTGGGATGATGAAGAAGTAAATTCACAGCATAATACAAGATAGACTGATTAGATAACCAATTAAATAATAAATTATTGACCTATAGAAGCAAAAGTGATTATTTCATGGCATGACATATGCTTGTAAAGGTTGTGTCATGTTTAGGGAAGAGGGGCAGCAATTACATTGCAAATTACATAGAAATTTGCATATTTATCATGACAATTTTTCAGAAGCAGGCAAAAAAATTGCTATGATAAAGTAAGTATAATATGATGATTTCCCAACACCGAAAAAATAAGTGTCTGGAAGAAAAGGCATTACATGGGCTTAAAGTGACCCTAATTAATTCCAAGTAGGGGGAATCAGAGAAGTAGGGATTTGAGAAAGGCCTTGGAGAATAAGTGGGACTTTGAAACATGGACCAAGGGGGAGGAAAGACATTCTGGGAAATGGGCAAAGTAAGGGTGTTTCAGAAATTCCAAGGAACTTGGAACATGGTAGAAGGGTAGAGTGTGGGGGCACTAGTAAGAGATGGTTAGAGGATGTAAGGGGAAAAGAATGTGATTAAATTCCCTTAAAGGCCAAGCAAAGGAGTTGAGTCTTCACCAAATAGAGAGCAGTCATTAAAGAGATGGACAGGGAGGTATAACCTAACCTGCATACAGGGAAGAATCCCTGAAGCTAGAAAGCTTGGAGAGGGGAGACTGGGAAGTCAGGATGACTACCATCGTGAGCTAAGAGGTGTTAGATGCCTGAACTGGATTGGGAGAGGATAGAAAGCAGGACAGGGAGAGAACACTCTAGACTTTGGTAACTTACTATGAAAACAGAGGCTGAAGAAAAGTTAGACTTGTCAAGGTTAAAAAAAGTCATAGACTTGCTTGTGAATTTGTCAGCTGGTGTAAATTTCAGTAGGAGAGAGGTATAACGTTTTCTTAAATGTCAAATCCAGCCAAATAAAGTCTAAAAAAAGACTTTGTGCTTCAGATCAGGATTGATACTGACAGTGCAAATACCAAAGAATGCATTTTAAAAGAGGCTGAAAAAAGAGACCCATTTTCCCTTGTATCAAATCATGAGCTCATTGAACAACCTAACCTTCATGATTCAGTCTTCGTAGTACTAAACTTCAGCTCCTCCCAGGAATGATTCCCTTTAAAACTGTCATAGATACTGATAGACAGCTCAATACTTAACAGAACAAAACTCCTTATTCCAAGATGAGTCAAAGGAATGGTGCATAGAACAATTCTGCAGGGGTTTTTTTTTTGTGTGTGTGTGTGTGTGTGTGTTGTTTTTTTTTAACTCTGGTATTAACTGAGAAAGAAATCATTATCATCTCAATAGCTGAATTAATTAGCTTTCATTCTGAGATGGCAACACAATATTATCATTATATCATTTAAATATGGATACATATACTGTATTTATACTTATGCAAATCTAGCCACACTCATACCTGCTGCCTCTATCTTGCTCTTTCTTGTGCATATTCAACAATGCTCATATCAGAAAACTCATTTGGAAATGAATGGAAAGGAAATTCACAGAAGAACAGAGCCTTCCTGGTAATAAAAGATGAGTAGACATGGTTGGCATTGCCATCTGGGGAATGTGTAGCACTAAGGGAATCCCTGGGGTAGCAGAATAGCTACAGGATGGTGCTTTTACTGGGATCCCTTAATTCTTCTTGGACCCCTGCTTTTCTGGGTGCACACAGACCACACTCTATTCCCAAGTCATGCAAATATATGTGTACATACACACACACATGCCAGCCACCAGTGATTGACACCAGTAGTCACTGGTACTTAAGCTACCCATTACTTTGAACTTAGTAAAATATTGTTTAATGTTTTAAAACTTCAAGGTCTCTAAGCTTTTGAAACAAGAACAAACACAGCTGAGTAACGAGAGATCTTTACATTCAATATGGCCTCAATACAGCTAGTCTATCTCAGCTTATGTAGCACTTATTTTGTGACACTGTCCTAGATACTTTGCATATAGCGATTCATTTAAAATTCTTAACAATCCAGAGAGAGAGACGTTATTATAATCTCTTTTTTAAAAGAGAATGAGTTACACAGAGGCTAATTTGCACAATGTCCTACAGATAGCAAATGGTAGAGCTGAATCTGAACCCTAATAGTCTCTATTCAGACTTTGCACTCTTAACCACCATATTATACTGTCCTTCCAGTAGTTTACATTCCAGAAAAAAACATGACTTGAGACATTAATCTCCCCAAATCTCACATTGCACAATTCCCTACTTCTAACAGAGACCTGTTACCTTCCTCAGTCTGAGTTCATATGAGCATTTTGCAATAATTTTAGAAATGTTAAGGTGAATCCAGAATTTATTGAGCTCTTCATAT